CAATGTTAATCTTCATTCGATTCGTACATATCTATGTTCTTATAAATATAAAAAGAAGACTAGATGACATTTACTCTCTCTCTCTCTCCTTTAGTTTGTACCGATATAAAATTATTATCGTAGAAAATATTTCTCATCTACCGAAAAGTGATCATAATCACGAAAAAATGTTTCTTTTCCTCGATTTGAAAAAAGAAAAAATGTTCGAACAAGAATGAATCTTTTCATTTAAATTGTATGTAATTGTTTGTATCTCCTCTCTATGAAGATAACATTTGATGTTGACGCATATTTTTCTGATTGCCTTGTTTGTTGAATGGAAATACGATTACATGTATGAACAATTCGTATAAAGATAGTTGGCGAAGTAACAATCAGAAATGAAACAATAACATTTACTCCGTTGACGTAATATGAGAAAAAGTGCCGCTCATTTTTAATTAAAGCCGGACTGCACGTACGCGGAGCCGCGGACGTCCCCGGAAAAGCGGAACGAGAGGAAAAACGAGCACGTCCGACCGAGTGCGAGCATATAGAGAGTCTCGTTTGCCGGTCACGAACGGCATTCTCATGTCGGATGCTATTATAGTAAAGAATAAAAGTGGATGGAAATACCAAGAAACGACGATAGGCACGCGTTGCATGCACTCGGAACCTCCGGTATTGCGCGGCGGCCATGTTCACTTCCTCCGAGAGCGGCTTTCTCTATCCCTTCCATCCGCGATTGAAAATGTATCGAAGAATACGATGCTCTACAGCAGAAGTACAGCCGGATAGCGATCTTGAATTATTACAACGCCTCGAAATCACGTTCGTACATAAATCAACCGGATCCTTCGCGTTAGAAAACCCGAGAAAAGCTCCGCGCCCGCGCGTGAGTTTAACTCCTTTTTTACTCTAAAAGCCGTACGGTGGTTTTTATCGGAGTAATTTTTAATGCGTTCCTTTATCATCAATTTACGATATTACGGTTTGTACAAATATGTTAATAATCCTCTTACAGCGAGCCTCCTTTTTCATTCTCCGCCGTTATTGTGAAAATGTTGGAACTGGATGCGTAAGCTTTTTTATTATCTGCCGATTTTATCTTTTGGTTGTAGCGTTAGATATTGCCTTTTGAGATTTGTTAGGGTGTTCTGGATGATACTTTTAACAGGGAGAATTAACGGGCGGGTGTGAGCGCGTAGTGGAGTACGAAGCCGAGCGTATATATAGATACATCGCGTCCGCTTGGAGAACCTCGATACCGACATTATGCGGCGTACCTCGCGTTTAACTTGATAAATGAAGGCAGATCGGTGAGTGTCGTCACACGCGACCTACTACTCCGGCTCGTGCACTTTTTTCTTGTCAGATAGTTCGATCGGTAACCGACTGATTCTCCGACCAGGAGGAAGAATGAAGAGGTAGCCCGCTCGTGGATGGGAGGAGGCAATGGAGAAAGGATCCACTAAACGTCCACCTCTAGCCGAAGGCCCGGAGGGTCGCTATCTTTTTTTGTCCAGGAAATAAGGGTCCAGGAGACAGGGACTTGATTATCCGGTTGACGACGACAAGAGGCGACGACAAGAGGCGTTCTTACGCGTGGTCGTGCCATTGTATTACTGGTCGTTGAAAACTTTTTTAATCACGTTCTTCCGCTGCGGATCCTGCTCGTCTTTCGTACTCACGCGACACGCACGCACGCGCGCTTTTCAGCTCAAGGCGTTTATACTTTCTCTCTCGCATTTTTTTTCATTCATTATTTATAGTTTCCGCTACCATTTGCTCCCGTTCGCGACAGCTCCAAGTTTTATTAATAGTTATGAAGCCGATGGTATCTTAAATCGGCCACTGACTACAATAGCTATTTGCGCGCATCCCGATCGGTAGTTGCCAATAAATGAGAAAGATCTAAATGTCTTCTCTCATTCCTGATGGAAAGATAGAATCAAGAGATTATACAATAAAAGAACCTCGCACAAATTATATGGAAAAAAGTGGTATCTCAGTCAAGTGCCTCAATGGACCTGATTTGATCCTATGAGTCATTTCCATGCTACAAACTCCAGAAGATCTAAATATATAACGATATGTATAAAAAGTATATAAGACAATATATGTGACTCTACGGGGTTCACTCCCGTGTGGTACTTAGACCCGGTTTTTCGTTACCTGGTTAGCATCGATGAAGCCCATTGGATAAAACATCAGGTTGAACCTAACCACAAGTTAACTAGATAATGAAAAACTGGGCACAATGTGTGTCCTGTTTAATAAAAATGTATAAAATATTATTGTTTCAAAAGTATAAGATATTTGTTTATTCCTTTTTTACGGCAAGAATTAAAAAAGTAAAATATAATATAATAAAATGTGTATAAAATATATATATATATATATTGTCGAAAAATTTATATTTTTACGTGTTGTATTTGAATCTTCTAGAGGTTGTAACGCGAAAATAGCTCACAGGATCAAATTGTGCCCATTGAGACGACGTTTGTTCAGAATAACGAAAACTACGACATATCAAAAATTCAACCAATTCGATTGATACATGATTCGTGCGGGGTCCTGTTGCTTTTGATTGCTTTTTAATAAGGTCTTTGAATGGATGATGCATTTCTGTGACATGTACAGAAATGATTTCGTTAACGTAAATTGTCTCGATTTTGCAAGAGTTTCCGAATCCTTTAATAATTTTAAATATATACGCCTAAATGGAAAATGCGAATTTCATCTCAGCATTTCAATACGATTTAAGAATGGAAGGACGAAAGGAAATAATGAGCAATGAATCCTTCCGTAACGACTTTGTTTCGACTAGAAGCGGACAAAGTACCTGCAATGTAAGAAACAAATGGGACAGCAATAGCGCGAGCAAGAATTATGAGTTACGTTGAGGGCGTCGCAGAAATTCGATATTACACCCCGTAGCTCCCCGTACTACTCGTAAAGACAAATAGAGAGTTGTTGGAAAAAGAAAATTGCGAGAGCTAATTGAATTGAACGTATCTCGTATCTTTCGCGTACACTTGATCGATTAGGACGATGCGTTCTCGTTGCTACTCTCATCGCGTACACCATTCTTGCGCTCACGTGCACGCTATGTACGGATTGCACGCATGACCGACTTTTTTTCATTATCTTCAGTCTTCTACGGGAAATGCCGAGGGAAATGCTCTCCCGAGAAGTAGGAAAATAAATTTACTTGATATCTCGCGATTTGTTTTTTTTTTTTCTTCTTTGTCAACGCGGATGGGTTCGTATTTGTAGAACTGCGTAAACAATGCAAACACATGCGTGTGTGTGTGTGTGAAGAAAGATTCTGCATATTTGAAATAATTAAGAGGATTCCATTTTAATCCTCTGTGCTGTAAAATATTTTCATTCGACGTTTTGTGCACGCTGCTTTATTTCTATTAATTCCGGCAGAAAGAAGTACGTTTACGAAATTTAATTTGTTTCATGACAAAGATACGATCGTCGGTCGAAATCTCGAAATCTTGCGATACTGAAGGTACCGCTTCTGTGGATTAGTTTTATTAATATTAATATATCTTGAAAAATTCTTTTGTGCATTGTTATCATATAAATATTTTTCGCTTTGCAATGTAAAAGATCCTGTTCTTTCTCGAAATTTTGAAACGCATCAAATAACGCAATTGAATTTAATACAAATATCATTATACACGGTGAATCTCTCTTTGTCTCTGCACCTTTTGAGGTAACCGTCGGAGAACGGAAGAGTAATTACTGCTGAATCTCATAACGCGCAATTTCTATTTCGCGTAAGCTAATTGCGCCCCGCTTTAGACTTAACGACGTTCTTTGATTGTCAAGTAGCGCGATTGTGTTTAGTCGAGACAAATCCGAGAAATGGGTAATCTGAAAATCGCTACCTGCAGCCGTCGATCGATAATCGCGCGTGTTGCACAGGCTTTATCGCTCGCTAATTGATTTTAAAATGCCACGCGGTAAAAGAAAAACAATAGGGAAGAAAAAAGTCGAGACGATCCGATTACGCGGTAATCGCCTCCGCAATACCTTCCGGCGCGTAGAAATTCGAGATTTCGCCGTTCCTCTCTTTAGTGGCACCGGAAATGCGGCGTCAATATTGGAACACGAGACTGGGGGATCGACAAAAGGTTCCTTGTGTGTGCCGTCAAGGAAGAATCGGGTATATCTCGGTATACCGCGATAGAAGTACACCCTGGTCGTAGCAACCGATGGTCACACAGGCGCGAATTCCGAAGCGTATATACTTGGTCAAAGCCGTTGTCGCATGGCAACGATTCGTTCTCTCTCGTCCACGATGCACTCGCCACCGGTCTTGTCAGCTGAGAAAGTCCATGAGTCGGCAGTTTCGAGTTTACTCCAAGTAATCACGGAGGGAAAGACAAGCACGACGCGCGTCTCCCCCTTCTCTTTTCCATATTCTCGATCGTTTTTTTTTTTACCTGAACACTCTGTTACACATTTCCATCTTTTGTCATTTGCATTGTGTTACATACAAGATGTCCCAGAAGACTCACGGTTTTCTCGAACGAGAGGTGGTTTGCAGCTGTACGCGAAAAAAGAGTCGATTGTTTCGAGGATTTCGAAATTGTGAACGAGTCGGAATTCGATATTCTTGGGCAAAATGAGTTAAGCGAAACTTCCATTGCTCTCTTTCGAGAGCTCGTGGAGAATTTTAAATTAAGGACATCTCAGAGAGGGACCGTCGGAATGTTGAAAACGCGTGATTTCGGTGACATCCGAATAATAATTTCAATTGCACTTTATTCAGTTTTACGAATGCAGAATTATGCTTTATCTAACGAATAATGATGCACTTATCCATGTTTTTCCGGTCGAATTTACGATTTTATTCACGAATAAGCAACCTCTATTGTTATAATAAAACCGATTGTTCATCGACGGTTATTACATATTGGAATTTCATGATTTCTCTTATATGTATTATTGTATATTCGCAATTCCGAATTGTTAAAAGCGTCATCCTATAGACGGTCGCGCTGCCCTTCCGGACACGTCGTCGTCGCTCGGTTGCATCGACAAACGGCGCGTCGTTGCGAAAGAGTTCATCGTTCCGGTGCCACAGTCAAAAGCGTCTCCTCCATCGGATGCACATCGTCGCATGTATCTCGCTGCGGCTTCCATGACACCTGGGCAATGTTCGCACAACTCGTGACGGAAATACCTCTCTCTCTCTCCCTCCCTCATTCACTCGTTCTTTCGTTCTCTCTCTCTCTTTTTTTTTTTTTTTTCTTCGCTGGAAAGTGTGCCTTCTGATTTCTCCCTTCGAAAATACGCGATGGAATGGAGCAATTAGTAAAGTAGCAGACACAGGCAGAGCAGAAGGGAGTACAGCCTCGGTTGTTTGGCCTGACCGCCGTGCTGCATTGCCGCGGGATACTCTCCTGAAACAGAGGGCAACACTTAAATTTTCTGAAGACCCGCGGCGCTTGGCATTTCCGCTCGCTGTTTCCTATTCTTCTTCTTTTCTTTCCTCTCCCGCATTGTCTTTTTTTTTTTTTTGTCGTTCAGCCGAAATGGAATGCAATTTAGCTAATTATTTCCCGTAATTGGCGCGGTTTCTCCTTAGTGAAATGCACTTTTACAATTCTCCTTCCAAAAAGAGAACTTGCCGATCCTAGATGAGTCACACGACCGCATCAAATGGTCTTAGAAGCATTAAGAATTAATATTTTATATTAAACGATGAATTACATTTGAAAAATAGTGCAACGATAATTACTGTTCATTCAACGTCGAAAGTTAAAAATTTCCAACAATGTGCGACAATCGCCTTAAGATGCTAAAGAAAAATCACAATTTAGTCAAATAAAAGAAACATGCGTGCCGTATAAAGTATTTCTCAATAAATCTTATACGCCGTATAAAGTTTGAGTAAGATATTTCTCAGAAGTTTACGCTTCCAATATTATTCGGTGTTTTATTTTATTTCTATATGTACACGATCGTTGTTAATCACGAGCTGACAAGAAGCTGGCGCGTCGTCCTCGTATCATCGATTACTCACCGTTGAGTACATGTACGGTGATCGATTTCGGTTGAGCATTACTGGGGTTACAAGTGTACCGTCCTGAGTCCGACGGCTTCGCTTCTTGCACCAAGAGGAAACTCGTCGTGCTGTCACCCTTCTCCGTGACCACGGAGACGCCGCCTCTGCTCGAGTCGTAGCTGATTATCTGGAACAGAGATCGGGCGATCGTTCTGAGATCAGGTAGCGTCTCTTCGAGTGGACGAGAAGCCGCGGTGAGGATGGGAGCGAATAAGAAACCGACTAGCCAATGTCGGATACAATTTTTATTAGGACAGCTCCGATAAGTACTGGCTATGAAGATGACAAGTGCGGAGATAAGTTGATCGCGAGAGGCTGCCTTTCGTGAGCGGCACGGATGAGGGTAGAGAGAATACTCGTATCTCGTTAAAAGAGGTATCCCTCTTTTAATGAGAATTCTTGACGTGTATAACATTGAAGGAGATTCGAAAGAGATTGTTAAGTATATCCTCTGATATCGTTTAGTGATATCAGGAAGGTTTGCCCCGATGTGTTTGGTGCAAATTATTTATTAAGATAAATATTATTCCAGGATAATTTTTGGTGGTGTATCTCAGAGTTTAATGTTTAGTTTTTTATAATTTTTAATCATTCCTTATTCGAATTATTGGTAGATTTTCATCAATTTTCTTAAAATAGTATATATTTCAATCTTTTTAATTCCTAAAATTATCTCTATAATTCTTGTGGCGTAAGTAAAACCGAACACATTTTTCATTATGAAAAATAAACCTATATTTTATTATTTAACGAAAGATTAACGTTTCTCACATACCGAAATTACTTAGATTGTTAGAATAATCAAAACATTTCACGAATGTTATTTAAGCCTGCACATTTACGCTGGAAAATTGGCTGCAACGTCCAAATGCTAGTAGTGCACTCGTCTCAAGACTCCGACGAACGTCGTGTTTATCCTATGTCTGTTCCACTTGACAACCCTCGCGAGTGTCGCTTTAACACGAGGTTGGTAGAATCCAACATTCGGTGTACGCGAATGAAAGGAATAAAGAGCAGAAAACGTCGCGAGAGCTAAAAAGGATTTTTAAATAAATAATCCGTAGTCAGAACCTTACGACAGTGTACCTTCGTCTGAGAGGTACGTAAGCCTTCTTAAGGGATTGAGAATTGTAGAACATCCTTGACAACATGTTGGATATTTGCTTCTTGGCTATATCTTGGTATTAAAAAATTCGGACGTCGTCTTCTCTCAGAATTATCTCGGTAAAGAGAAATGTCAAATCAATAATCATTAATTTAATTTCTCTCGCACACTGCACTTTCATATATAGAAATCGTTCTTGAAGATTTCAAAGAACGACAGCAAAAAAATTCCTGCTTTTTGCTTTTCGATTTTAGAATCGAATTTTATGTCAAATGATAGATTACGATGAGACATTAATCACAAAAAAGTTGTACGTTTAGTATTAATAAAATGTGTGACACTAACAACGCTTTATAGCATAAATTTTTTTTCGAATTTTTTTAAAAGTCAGTATTTATGGGTTCTTTGAGTTGCTGATTACGAAACAAAAATTCGTGCTATAAAATGTTGTTGGTGTCATATTTTCTTAATAGTTGGTAACCTCTTTGACGCTCTAAATTTCTGAAATCAATCCCTCGACGTAAAACTTTTTTATGATTAATGTCTCATCATGAACTATCGTTTGATGTAAAATTTGATTCCAAAATCGAGGACCTTTGAAAAATAGGCGAAAAGAAACCTTTTTGCAGTCGTTCTTTAAAATTTTGCTAAAATACAATATTTTTTTATAATTCAATAAACAAAAAAATCTAAAATTCTTATATTGTTAGATAAAGCAAATAATAAACTTATAAGTTTAAGTCAAATTTAATACATTCTTTTACTTAAATCAACTCCATTGTTTTGGGAGAGTAGGGACTGTTTCAACTTATATAATAGAGATGATTAAAAACAACTCAAATTGGGTATCATATAATTTGACGTTATGAATTTAATTTCAATATTATAGTATGTCATAAATAATAGAATCGAAATAAATAATTCTAATATATCAGTACATGTACTAATTAATCCAGTACAAAAGAGTTCTATTAAAGAGTTTCTTTGCTTAACCATTATTATTCACTTCTCGACGCGCTGATATTATATTTTACGCTTAGATTTCCTTCATTCATAAAAAAAGAACAAATCCAAATAATTGCATACGAAGCGTAATTGTTTCATTCTCAGAAGTACAAAATGCTTTTTCGAAGTTTCTTTCATTAAATGTGTAAATACAAGCTCGACTAGGTACTCGAGAAAATTTAATCTTTCCGAATTGCTGCATTTCCTGTGCGATATCAAATCCCGAGGATAAGAATATTTATCGGGGGGTCGCCAGGCTGTTTATCCCCATAGTCTCGAAGCGTGCGATTAATCGGACGAAAAGTTAGAGGCCGCGCCGCGCCGCGCCGCGAGTTTGATAAGCACCGCGTTGCTTCCTTCCGTTCCGTTATCTAAACCGCGCGTTGCGGTCTAACGCAGAATAATATGCGAAACTTTCGTTGGAAAGTCCATAGTTAATCCGGCCGTATACATATATACGAGGCGCAATAATGCCGGCGTACTCACAACAGACACATGCATTTATGACATGCTCTTCCACCGCTTACGCTTCTCTGAGAGCTGAACTTTCCTTATCCTGTATGAAACGGGAACTCGACGGTGGGTTTTTATAATCCGCCCGGTAACTCGTAAATTAATGTTTCGAAGGATGTTCGTCTCTACAGCTGCTCTCTTCTATACAAGCACAAAATTGAACAACACCGCGGCGAAGTTGTGTTTCTCAAACTTACATAACACAAACGTAAACTTACGTTTCAGGAATTCATTAAACTTTTACGGTTCATCCGTAGGTGCGTTTTTTTTTGTAACGTAGGTTACACGAACGATAAACCGATCATGATCGCTCTTAAACATTTGGTGATATACTCGTATATTGAATATTTAATGTGCTTGCGTTTTCTATGTTACTCACGTTCGCGATATGCGCAAATTATTATTGTAAACGACGTTCTTGTAATTACTCGGGCGAACGATGTATTTCGAATTGAATTGATTTTTATTTAATTCTACTCGATCATCAGGATGGATAAATAATATCCAATTTTCAGTTCATTAATCGTATAAAGTGCTGACTCTGCATTGACAATTGAATTAAAACAGCGACCAATTACTCACCGATTAACTCTCGTGACTGTAAATCGATCTGAAATAAATGAACGTTACATTTAAACTGAATATTTACATTTTTTGTTCTGTCAGTTACAAAACGTTTATTATAATATTCCTCCCTTTTTCTCTCTTTCTCTCTTTTCTCTCTGATAAAAGACCATTATATTTCATATAATTTTAAATTATTAATACGTATTAATGTATTAACATTAACAGAAATTTTTATTATTAAAAATGAATGAAATTTATACATATAAAACACGATTAATACGATTAGATTACTACAATTAAGACTAACATTTCTCATCAATATTCAATAAAAAAATGCAATTTTTCTTATTTATTTATTTAAAGAAATTCAAAGTGTAAAAGAGAGATTCCGCAATTTATATAGAAAGGAAGTCGCAAGAAATCAAAGACTACTGGCGATTCATAAGCGATTCATTCAATCTATAAATTTATTGTAACTTTATTTGGTACAATATTATCACCAGTGAGAGAGCTCGGCTTAGCGAGTCAGATAATTTCGTTTTAGAATCCGTAATTTTCCCAAGTTTTAAAGACGCACATGCGGAAGTTAAGGGGATAAGGAGGTAAATGAAGATGAGGGAATGAGTTTCGTCAACCTCATTACGAGTTCTTCTGAAAATCGGCATTCGACAGAATTGCCAGTCGACTTAAACGGAACATCTTGGGTTCAATTAATGGTCCGTTGGAAAGATCCGTTTTCTTCTCTTCCGCTTCTTTATGGTTTTTAGACTTTGTCTTATCAGTTTTCGTTCGCGTATTGGACAACGTCATTCTTTGTTCTGCACTCCGCCTACCCCCTTTTTTTTTTTACGTCTGTTAGCACTCTTTTCCTTCCATCGTTTATTAAATTTGGTCGTATCAATAGTTTATTTTAGTTCGTGTCACACTGATTGTATATCACATAATAGATCGTAGAATATCGCAAAACAACCAAAATCGATTGCTTTGTCGAATAGCGCAGATTATTGTCGCGTGATTACTGAAAACGTATCGAAATTATTAACAAAGCGGTTGAATGCGCTAGTCATATTATAAATGTAGCCGCACGTTGCGTAATGTATACGTTTTTAATGAATTTGCACGAAATATTAATTTGTTAATACATTAATAAATCGATTGACATCGTAGGTAAATTATACGAATTAAAATATATATTTCCGCGTATAAAATACAAGCGGATTAAGCAAAATTACAATATGGTGATGTCGTTTGCAGATATTGCACAGGTATGGGTAATGAAACGACGTCAGTTCGCATATTATCGCAACTGCTGTTTTTCCATTGGTTTGGTCGTTTTTCAAATGTTTCACTGGTTTAACCAACGAGATTTAATTCCCTTAGTTATCCAGTGTCTAATCTTTATTTCACATGACGTACACTATATAATCAGTTTTGCCTCCCTAAAAATTTCGAAATCTCGACAACCAAAACAGAATTAAATCTAATCTTATAATAATCAATCGTAAAAATTAAATTATGATTTTCAACTAAACATTTATATTTCTGGTCGATATTCTTCTTTGCGACATTCATTCGTTTTTGTTTATCTTCTTGCGGTTCTTATGTCACCATTTCGTTTGCTTTTGATGTAAATTCAACCTTCAATCCAGAGCTCTCTTTCGAATTTTTCTTCAGCTGTGCCTCTTGCTGGGAAATAAAGTTGCCAGTTGTTACGTTGAAATCGGCTGTTATTTCAGGATTTCGTTGTTTCTCGAGGTAGCGAGCATCCAGCTGTACGTCGAACGCGACAAATTGTTGCCAAAATGCGACATACTGTAGTCTACGGTATAGCATCGTGATACCGTTGGTGTATCACCGGGATCCTCACGTGTTTACCGTTAGATATATTCAATACTATACATTCGATGTGACACGAATTTCACTGCTGACCAATCGAA